CTGTTTTCTATGTGGATATATTGCAAAATGTAATTTATTCCTGTGATGCGCAGCTGAATTTTCAGCATCAATGCTCCAGACTTCAGTGTCACATGATCTTCAGAAATCATTCTAATATGCTGATTTGCTGCTCAAGAAACATTTCTGATTATTATCAATGTTGAAAACAGCTAAATATTGTGGAAAACTGGTATATTTTGTTCAGGATTCAAGTTCAATGAAAAAAAAAAAGTATTTGAAATAGAAATTTTGTAACATTATAAATGTTTTTACTGTCACTTTTAATTAATTTAAAAAAAAAAATTATTTTTTATTTTATACCACCCCTTTCTTTCAATCCAATCAAAATTTCATTTGGAATGAGCTCAATCAGCGTTGCGTTTCCCGCTTAACTACCACAATAGGATGCATCATTAACTATCTAGTTGCAGTTGTTTCCCGCAACAAACATGGTCACGTCTCAGTCGGTTGAACCACATTGGTTCAACAATAGGACTGTCATTAAGGAGTAATAACTCTTCAAAAATGGCTCTGATTGTTGACATGCTAAAATGCGTATATATTGAACATGTTAGCATGCTTTTTGTGTCCAAAAACAGAGAGTCCACATCATACCAACAAGAAACTCTATCCACAAGTTGAAAGCTTTCGCGAATTTCGCAAAAAGTTTTGTGAGAACTTTGGGACTCGTTGAACTGTGTTAGTAATGACTCTAGTTGGCTTTTGGGAAACGCATCCCAAATCGATTGAGGTGTTTACATGAATGCCTTTCAATCCGATGGGATTATTCGGGTGCACGTAAATGTAGCTCAACCTCAACTGTCCACATTTGGCCCCCGGGACGGACTGAATTACAGCAATAGGACCCGGGCTCCAGGAATGTGATGTCATCCCGGCCCCCTGGCGTTGGGAATGCCCTCTCCCTGGGTCTCTTCCTTTTCCCCGCTCTCCATCCCAGCAGGATATTTTCTCGCATTCATTTTAATTTTAGGCAACATGAATGAGGGTAATCAAGCTGGAATGCAGTGAAGTCACACACACACTGACCGCATCCCAATTAAACGAGGCTGAGAGATCATTATTGACCTGCTGCCCACCCCCTCTTCCACTTTTCTTTTCTTCCTGTGTCCTCTCCTCCCCTTTCTGCGCCACACGGTAGGCCTGAATAGAAGCGCAGTGCATTGGAGCTGTGCGTTCAGTCGCACACACACACACATTTAGAGGGAAGCGTCCCCATGCTGTGTCACTGAAAGCCCTCACAGTCTGCGCTGTCAATCAAACGCTGTTTCGCCCGTATGCTGAACGTAAGGTATGACATCACCTCACGAGACAAACGCCACCGGCCTCCATCGCTGTCGCCAGAGAGATCCGTCAGTTTGATACTGTTTACAAGGCGTACAGTGAAAGAATAAAGAGGAAATCTTCAAACAGGCAGCGCATTTCTCAATGCTGCTTCCAGCATCTGCTTTCAGTTAGAGACGCAGTTGAGCCAGAGAGACACAGTGAAATAAGAGCGCACTGTTTACTCTGATGAAACAACAGTGTCACTTTGAGCATGGAATGAGAGAAAATTAATTACAAAGCAGAAATATTCAAAGCAGAATATGTATTCATTCAGCAGATGAGGGACGTTGCATGTCTCTCTGTCTGGGAATGTTCTTCCAGTAACATTAATCGAATGTTTGTTTACAGTTCTCTTTTTTTTAAATAATGTTCTCAAAATGTTAGCACAAAAACATTATTTATACATTCACTGAACATTTTGTCCTGAAACGTTTAGATGGACGTTTGTCTGATGTTTGTTAAATGTTATTCCTTTTTATTGGAACATTGAGAGAACATTTAAAAGTAACATTCCCATGATATTTGCAAACTGATCCGATGGAATGTTCCCTTAATGTTCGTATAACCAAGAAACAATGTTTCTAAAACATTTAAAAAACTGGACATTTTGAATGTTCAGAGAACATTCAAAATGTTCTCAGAACATATTTTCCTATCTATCTATCTATCTATCTATCTAATGTTCTCAAAACTTTGGCTAATGTTCTGGCAAGGTTCTCTCCAAGTTATGAACAAACGTTCTTCCAGTACCATTAATAGAACGTTCATTCAGAGTTTTCTGGTCTTTAATAATGTTCCTAAAACGTTAGCCCAAAACCATTGTTTATACGTCATTCATTAAACATTTTTTCCTAAAACGTTTTAGTTGGATGTTCATCTAACGTTTTTTAAATGTCACATGTTTAAGAACGTTCAGAGGACATTCAGAAGTAACGTTCCCATGATGTTTGCATAATGATACAATGGAACGTTCCCTTAAAACCAGCAAAAAATATATTATATATGATTATATATGAGCCAAAATCTCAAGCCGTCTCTAGCTGCTGAATGAAGGTGAGCTGATCGTTCCTGCGCAGCGTCAGTGAGCCGCGCTCGCTCGCGCCCTCTAGCGGTCAGAATGCGGCGTGGCACCGGCAGCTGAACCGCAGAACCGCA